TTTACCAGTGAAATTTACGCTTTCATGTATTTTCCTATTACTAATTAGCACCCTTTCGTTTCAGGTTAAAGAAGGCCCTTTAACATTTCTTGTAAGGCTGGTCTAGTGATGATGAACTCCTTTAGCTTTTGCTTGTCTGGAAAGCTTTTTAATCTCTTTTTCAATTCTGGACAACTTTGCAAGGTAGAGTTCTCTTGGCTGGAAGTTTCTTTTCTTTCATCACTTTGAATATATCATGCCATTCTCTTCTGGCCTGCCAACTTTCTGCTGAAAAAAATCTGCTTGTAGTTTCAAGGGGTTCCCTTGTACACAAGTTGTTTTTCTCTAGCTGCTTTTAATATTATCTCCTTGTCTTTAACTTTTGACATTGTAATTATAACGTGTCTTGGTGTGGGTCTCTTTGGGTTCCTTTTATTTGGAACTCTCTGGGTTTCCTCAATTTGGATGTCTATTTCCTTTCCCAGGTTATGGAAGTTTTCAACCATTATTTCTTCAAATAAGTTTCTATTTTTTTCTCTCTCACTTTCCCTTCTGGGACCCTTATAATGCGAATGTTGATCCACTTGATATCTCATAAGTCCTTTAAGCTACCTTCACTTTTTTTAAATTCTTTTTTTCTTTTTGCTGATTGATTGGGTGAGTTCCACTGCCCTTTGAATTCACTGATCCTTTTCTCTGCAATATCTACTATACTGTTGAAACCCACTAGTATATTTTTCAGTGCAGTTACTGTATCCTTCAGCTCTGTGACTTCTATTTGGTACTTCCTTATATTTTCTGTTTCTTTGTTGAAGTTCTCACTGTGTTCATCCATTCTTCTCCCAAGTTCAGTCAGCATCTTTATGACTGTTATTTTGAACTCTTTATCAGGTAAATTACTTATCTCCATTTCATTAAGGACTTTTTGAGGTATTTATCTTTTATTTTGTTTGAAACACATTTTTCTTACTTCATTTTCCTTGATTCTCTGCATTGGTTTCTATGCATTAGATAGAAGAGCCCCACCTCTCCCAATCTGGAGGGAGGAGGACTGTGTAGGAGATGAGCGTTATCATTCAACCCTGCCCTACTCTTAGTTATCTCTCAAACCTTTGTGATTGTCCAAGCAGCCTAATTTATATGTAGTGGCTCTGTCATTGAGGGTGTTCCAAGACTTGTCAGTGTCCCAAAGGTGAGGATCTCAGTCAGCACCTTAGATTTAGGCTGAGTGGAAGTCAGATCCTCAGGCAGCAGCTTTTAAGATATGCAAACATGTAGAGTCCTGTGGGACCGCAAGTGTATGTCTCACACTGGCCACTAGAGCTGGGTGATCTAGAAGTGTCTCCCACACAGCTGTCACAAAGATCAGGGCACCAGGTGAGTGTACAAGCTCCTTTCTGGGAGATACCAATGACCTGTAGTGAGGCAGAGGGAGATGGCATAGATCGTTTCCACTGGCCTCAGTAGTTCCCGAGATGTACGCCAAACCTGAAGCCTGCCCCTCTTGCTGCAGCTCCAGGACAATCAAACAGGCCTCTTTCACATTAAAACTGGGGGTGTGTTTTAGTCTGCTGTGTGCACTGTGTCCTGGGGTGGTAGCCGGCCATGAACTGTCTCCCCATTTGTTGCAGTCCCATGGGACTCAGGAATGCAAGGCCTGCTGGCCACTAGAGCCAGGTGATCAAGGGGTGTCCCCTGGGCAGTAGATGCAAAAAACTGGGGCACCAGATATGTGTAAAAACTCCTCTCCAAAAGATACTGGTGCTCTGCAGCATGGCAGAGGGAGAGTGCACAGGTAGTGCCCACCCTCTCAGGTCCCCCACCAACTTTTTAAATAAAGGCTTTTTAAGATATTCACATATCACATAATTCATCCATTTAAAGTATGCAATTCATTGGTTTTCATAATATTCACAAAGTTGTACAATTTAGAACTATTTAATCATAGTTTAGAATACTTTCATCACCCCCAAAAGAAATACCATACCTATTAGCATTCACTCTCTATTTCTTCCTTCTCCCACCACAAACTTTTAAATCTAGTTCTGATTAAAAAAACTAGGAGGCCACATTTCAAAAAGGGCCATGTATTAAATGAAGCTTTAGATAAATATATTTTGAAATGAAAAAAAATCTCCAAAGCATCTTTGGCTTATTCGCTTTATAAGGGTCATAGACTACATCCCTCCATTATCTAGCATAGCATCTGGCCCATAGTAAATGCTCAATAAATACATGTGGAATTAAATGCTTGGCTACCTAAATTGTCTGTGTATGGAGCTCTATGAAAAGATATAACATTGGTGCCATACGTTAAAGAACACTTGACTGACAATATTATAAGGTGATGACCTAGACCAGTTAGTGTAACATTTATTGAGTACTTCCTATACATTAGCCACATTTATTATTATGTCCTCACAACAAGCCCATTATAAGGGGTTCCCCTGAGGTTAATAATCTGCCCAGCTAGTAAGTGGCAGAACCAGGACTGAAGCCCAATTACAGAGCCTGCAGTCAGAGCCCTCTTACCCTTTAATAGGATATAAGCTCTGCAGCTCCCTCTTAAATCCCCTCTACTGCTTACCTGTATCCCTGTCTTTTTCGCATATGAAGTTATTGATGTCTTCACACTGGAAATCGTTCCACTGCCCAGCGTAAATCAGCCCAGCACAGTCTTCTCCTGGCCCATGGCCATAGCCCCAGTTATCTGGCTGTCCAGCTTTCCAATTTCTTATAACAAAACAGAAATTGACTGTTACTTTAAAGTCACGTGGAAGTTCTTTACCCAAGAGCAGCAGAGAAATATAAAAAACAAAACAAGCACGTCATTTGTCTTGGAATGAGAATGCACTGTTTAAAAATCCATGCATACTCTGATAAAGAATAAGAATCAGCTGTTTTGCAGAGTACAGCCATACCTTGTTTTATTGCATTTTGCTTTATATGCTTCACAAATGTTGTGTTTTCTACAAATTGAAGGCAAGACCCTCTACCAGCAAAAAAGATTATGACTCACTTTATTGCGGTGGTCTGGAACCGGGCTATGCCTGGAGTGTGTATTTGCAGCCTCTTCCTACGGGCTTCTCTTTGTCATGAAATCAACTCATTGAGCTATTTCATCACAGTGCTTGGAGAGTAAATCCTTCTTTAACACAGTTAGATGAATGAAAATTTTCTAGTGTGTACTGTCATGATGACTTCTGGGCACATGTATAAATTTTTGTGTGTGAATATATATGCACTCTGAGGACATGATACACACACACACACACACACACACACACACACACACTCTTGTGAGAACCCAGAGGGATCCTTGTACATTTTGATACCTTGCTCCTCTAATAAGTCAAAGAGTCAGGCAGAGAAAGTAAGAGACCCTTGATATACAGTTACAAGAACTTACAATTACAAACACTTGGTTATGGTTGTCTGGCTAAATTGTAAATGGTTGATTGCTTTAGAAATGAAATAGTAATTTAATCTTACTGAAAATGACTCATACATTTCACTGCCTTTTTTGGAAGAGAGATTCTTAAAAACAAGTTTTCTTTAGGATGAGTTCACTTGGGGCTGGTTAACTTGGATGCTGCTGCTCAAATCACCACTTTGCCAGGGTTCATTGTTCTTGATTCTATTTCCATGCAGTAAATTACATGTGTTTCCAAGACTTGAAATTGGAAAGCTAAATTTTCTCTAAGAAGCAGGTCTTCCACAGAAGCCTGTGGTTACCGCTGAGAGGACAAGCTTGCCTCATGTGGAGGGCCCGAAAGAACACATGCAGCGGGACATGCTTCCCATAAACTATGACTCATTACTCCATCAGCCATGGGGTGTCCTAGGGCCACCTGAGGATGGAGCCATATTGCCCTACATGTTTTAACAATAAAACCAGCAAAATCAGAGGGCAGTGGGAAAGGACTGTTGAAATGTACAGTTAAAGGGTGGGGCAACAAGGTAGAATGGACACCTCCATACCAAATGCATATTTTGGGATTTTAAAAAAATGAAAAGTGACTTTACTTAAATAAATCTAGTGATGAAAATATAATTCAGATGAAACCACCAACTGGAGACTAAAAATGGGATGATACTTAGGCGGGAGAGTTAGAAAGTCATTCATTCACTCACATTTCCCTCAACAGATAGCCACAGAGCACGTACTCTGGGCCAGGGATAATTCTAGGTGATGGCAACACAGCAGGGTGGAGAATAGGCAGAGTCCCAGCCCTCTGTCTACAGAACTTACATAATAGGCAAGAAACAAATGGATTAAAAATCTCTGACTGCCACAGTGATGCCCGAGAGAGATGAAGTTGGAAGGAAAAATAGTTTACTTTCACATGGATGCTTTTTTGTGTATTTCTGTCCACTTTGAAGAACCTCTCTGGAAATGTCAATGATGCCTGAGCAGTTTGCTCTTGTTGATATACATTTTGTTTATTTCTGCCAGTAATGTGGAGGGGGCTCAATTTCAATTTTGTTTACCAAATCTGAGATCTGTGATTCCTGAATGTATAATGATGGGACATTTGTTAGTCTTTATCTTTCAGCTAATTGGAGAATTGTATAAATATGATTTCTGATAAAAGACCTGCTTAATATTTTCCCCTTGCATTTCCTTGTCATTTTAAGTAGATAAAAGGGATTTACAGAATAGACATAAAGATAACTGATTGATAAGAAAGGAGATAATTTTTTCCCCATTCCCCATTTGTTTTTCCAGGTCATTGGAATTCTTTATATACAGAGGTCAAAGTTTTCCTTTAGGACTACAAGTAGAATGCAGTTCTGTGGAGGTGAGTAGAGTCACTGAGATGGGACTAGTGTGGATGCATGCAAGCCAGGCTGCAGGGGCAGTTTGTCTTGTAGACTGAGCACTTAGAGTCTCAAAGCATCTCTTTGGATAAGCTAAAATCTTATGAAATTATCTGTGGCAAGCCCTTTCAGTCTACATGTTTGTAACAGAACAGAACATGTCAGATAAACAGAATATACATATTTTGGAGAAAAAAATCCAGCTTAAATAGCACAACCTCATTCATGGATAGATTCTGGGAAAAGAATGGCCAAGGCCTGGGCTGAAAATCCCTGAAGCCTGTATTATAATACACACATCACAGAAGTGGTTGAGTATAAGTACACAAGGGACTTTGGAAGCACTTGTATTCACTGTTCTAGTGAGCTGGAAACACACAAGCATATCAGCTACTGGGTGTGACCCCCCCACCCACGCCCCCAGACTCTGGGCTGACTCAAATGGAGGCAGAAGGCAAACTCTCAACCTTGGGAATCACCCCTTCCAACCTCACAACTTAGTACTTTCTCATCGACCACAAGATTGCATGGCCAAGAAATTTCTGCTGGTAAAAGCCTGGCCTCAAAACAGGAAAATCTTACTAGTGAGGAGTTTCTTTGCTGTAGAATTTTCTCCCACTGTAAGGGTCTGTACAGTAGAAGATTTCTCTCTAGTGGCCTAAGCCAGTGCCACTCTGATAGAAACATGAAGCATGGACCAGAGTGAGTTGTTACTGAATTAGATGATACTGAGGGTTCCCTTGTGGTCCCCACCACTCTATGGCTCTCTATTCTAAATCCACATATAATATTATCTGGAGCCGTCTACGTGTACAGAAAGGCAACCCGTGTTTTACCTTTGAGATTGAAAGCTGTTGCTCCTAACGTAACAGCATACTCCCACCAAGTGATATCCTGGGCAGGGGACCAAGGAGTGGGCAGGAAGGATAAAGGATATCCAACTGTGTTTGGGGAAACCCTCAGGAACAATATCACATCCCTTGTGATCTCAGGTGGGCAACTGCAAGAGGAGTGGGCAGGAAAGGCCTTAAGAGGCTATGCTATAGCTCTGCTCTGAGCCAGTGGGCAGTCTACGCATCCCACTGGTGTCCCTCATGCTAACAGACAGCCTTTGTTAACAGTGACAGCCTCTGCCAAATACTGTGCCTGCATTTATTCCCTCAAGAAGAGACAGATTAGCTTTGACATGCTCCTGGTTTCACTGATCCTCTCTGGTTTGTTTTCTATTTCATTGCTTTCCAGTCCTTATTGTTTCCTTCCTTCTTTGGGAATAATTTGCTGGTTTTTCTTCAGAAAGTAGCTGAGAGCATTGATTTTCAGCTTAAAACTCTTACTAATATATGCATTTTAAAGCTATAAATGCTCCTCTAAACACTGTTATAACTGCCTCTCCCAAAACTTGATATGTAGTGTTTTCATTTTCTTTGAAACATTTGAAAATTTCTTTTGTGATGTCTTATTTAGAAATGTGTCCTTTAATTTACAAATATTTGGAGATTTTACAGCTATTTGTTTGTTATTGGTTTCTAATTTAATTTTGTTTTTGTCAGAAAACATACTGTCTAATTCCATTGCTTTTATATTTATTGAGACTTGTTTGATGGCCTAGCAGATAGTTTATCTTGGTGAACCTACCAGGTGCACTTGAAAAGCATGTGTCTTTGCAGTTGTTGGGTGAAATGGTCCATAATATGCACAAAGTCAAGTCAGTTGATAGTGTCTACTACACCCCTTCTGGTTTTTCTTTCTTTCTCTTTTTTTTAACATTTTATTGGGGAATTTGGGGTGGAGAACAGTGTTGGGGAATCGGGGAAGGGGAACAGTCAAGTTGCTGTCATTTTGTTCTTCTGTCTAGTTGTGGAGGACGCCACTTCACTGGCCCATGTTGGTACTATTATGATCATTGCGCTCTTCCTGGCTGAGGCAGATTCGTCCTCCACCATTGGACAGCCGCTCATGGTAGCTACACGGGACCCCACTGCAGCTTCACTGCAGCCTATGCTGTTGCTGGTGACTCACGGCAGCCCAGCTCCAGGTTGAGCTGTTGTTCACCATCTTAGCTGTAGAGGGCGCAGCGTCACTGGTGCATGTGGGAATCGGACCGGTAGCCCCGCTGTTCCGAGCTCGCACTCTTACCAACTGAGCCACTTGGCCCACCCATCTTCTGGTTTTTCTCTCTACTGGTTCTACCCAATACTGAGAGGAATTTTGAAATCTCCTTTGAGCCTCCGCTCTTTGCTGTGTCCACACTTAGGGTTAGTATGTATGTCTTCTTGATGTGATGTGGTCCTGGAAATCAGACTTTTTTCCATGAGGAGAACAAGAAGACCTCTCACTCGTATTGCTGCCCACACACTCTGGGAAAGCTCTTCCAGACCAGCACGGAGGCCAGCTCGCAGTGGATAACTGAATGTGACCACAGGCTCAGGGGCCAGTGGGCCCCACTTCCCAGTCAGGGGGCTGGTGCTGGCCAGAAATGCAGTTTTCACAGCTCTGTGGTGACATGAGAAAAATAAGGACACTATGTGTGTGTGCGTGTGTGTGTATGATGGCCAGCTGTCTTTTCTTAAAAAGGATTGTGGGTTTTATTTTTCTTTTCTTAGTAGTGAGATTTGTTGATAGGTGATTTTTAAAACCCATGTCTTTGGTTGGCGAATGACATCTTGGCAATGTATGTCGGCCCTCTAGTCCTTCTTTTGGAATTGTATTGGTATGTGGACCCAAAGCATCTGGGACTCTGTTCTGAGACATCGCAAATTGTTTTTCATGACATCCTTTTCCTCAGTAGTTGATTCTAAAATTCAGTGAATCAGGTAATATGTTTTAAGGGAAATAAACCTTAATTCAGGTCTGTGTGTGCCTTAAGCCTTTCATATCCATTCCATGTTACTGTTGCTTTCTGTCTGTGTATTCTAGAGCTCTTTCTCAGCCAGATCTCAGCATAAAAAATGGGGAGGTTGCAAGAGGAAGAAGAGAGAGCCTTTTATCCTTTGCCTGTTTCCCCTTTAACGGTAACCACAAAACCCTGAACAATTTCAAAAGGGCTTGTGAGTCTGAGTGTGTGTGTGTGTGTGTGTGTGTGTTTAAAAAGGGTGAGAGGAAATCTGTGGCAGTGGAAAGGGAAGCAGATGAGCCAGTGCTTGGAGGCCACAGGAGCAAAGAGGAAGGAGGGTGAAGGGGAGTCTGAATAGATGGAGAAGTATTTAGGGAGACTTACACTGGTGGGAAAACCCTGAGAGCCTGACACCCAGTCTCCATCGTAGCCCATGGCAGAGAACGTATTTCTTGTGTTCGTCACAACCTATTGTGAGATCTGAGAGACATGCTGTGTGTGGCATCTCAATCAGGATACTGTATGATATATAAATGCTAAGTAATTTATTCTACAATTACTGACTAGAATGAAAATAATTAAGATTATGACAATAATAGTATTAATAATATCGATTCTAGCAG